GAAGCTGCTGGCTGGTCATTTGCAGGCTCTTATTTAACTATTTAACCTTAGTTAACCCCTCTAATGTATTTACTACTGTTAATATTCCAGTCAGTAATATTCTTCAGTCTGGAAGTTGAGGAAGGATTGTTAGGTCCTGCACGTTTGGCAACGACACATGTGCGATCCACATGATTGCAAGTCACTTCTGGTGTGGATGCAGCTTTAATGCTAAAACTCACCGGTTTGTCTTTGATGGTGGGGCTGGAGACACACAGGTAAAGCTTGCCATCCTCCTGAATGCAGGCATCAATCAGGGCCTGAACAGAGCTCTCATCTTGAAACAGCAGGAATGCATATCCTGGAAATATTGGGCATTCGGAACAATGAGTGCTCACCAGAAAATAACAAATTTTAATCTGAACGGCACAAAATATCAAATTAAACTTTTCTGATGCACCTTTGGGTGGAAAATAGGACTTGCTTTCTGCCTTATGAGGCCAGTCCACGAAAAGATGACCAAACCGACGGAAACTGGCAGTGATTTCATCTAGAAAACAAAACCCCCCCAAAAAAAAAACAGTTAGTCAACAAGCACATCAGCAAACCTATTTAAAATGGCACTGCATATCACTACCATGCCACAGGACACCATTGATACAGTAGCTGAAATATAACTTGTAAATATATAACTTAAATCTAGAAATGCCATAAAACACGTGAAAACACAAAAAAGTTGTTTATATTTCATTATTGTAAAAACTGCAGTTAGTCAAGGACCCCTTTCAGGTTTAACATGACTCACCTTCATCTATGTCTGGGGGCAGCCCTCCAACAAACACCTTGCGTGAATATCGCTCCACACGTTCACCATTAAGGGATGCAAAGCAGTGGCCTGGACCGAGGCCAGCAAGCCCCTGGTCACCTGACTCATCATCTCCAAAAGAGCGCTCATCCTCCATGGGGAACAAAGACGAATGACCTAATCGAGAGAAGGATCTAATTAACACATTTTAACTTCCAATCAGAATTAATCCAAATAAGTTCAATCACAAGAAATAATAATAAATAAATAAAAAACACAAAAAAAACCCCACAAAGGACAATTGCCACTTCTTATCCTGCAATAAAATTAGGATTACTATTAATACTAGTTCTTGATGGACAGCCTGCAAAGGTGTAAACTCCCTGAAGAGGAAAAAAGGATCTCAAGCAGTGAAGACAGAATAATCAGTGATGCAGACAAAAATCAAGCAGACAAACAGAGGCAAAAACAAAGCAATCATGTCACAGGCAACTGATGCTGTTTAAATCACATCGAAGAAATCAAAATGACAGACATGACATTAACAAGCTTTACCTCGTCTTCTCCCATAACTTCTTGCTGCATGTAAAACAAAACAAATTGTTTTTAGAAAAACATCACAAGATAAAGACATATAGGAAATTTCTATCAACCATTTACAATTAGTTGTGAAGGTCTGGACTCCAATTTTAAGAAACATTTTTTTTTTTTTAAATCTTAGGACACTGTCTGCTATGCTGACTTCAGCTGAAGTATTACATATCATTCAATGGTAGAGGTGAATGTCCGCCCTAGTGAAAGAAGCTGAAGTTTACTGAATGACAAAAAAAAAACAAAAAAAAACAGGAGCAGCTTCACAAAACTGAGAGATGAAATGATTCCCAAATGGAGTAGGAATTCTATTAATTCCCTTCTCTCATGTCTAAATAGCTGAAATGAGGGGGGGGGGGGTGTTCTTCATGTACAGGAAAAGGAAAATGACAGCATTTAGTAAAAATTTTTTAGAAAAGGCCACAAATGCAACTCACATTGTCAGTACAAGTAAACTAAATGTGCATCTTAGGGCAATATACATTAAAATGAGGCCAAAAATGTGTGTTAAACCACTTCGTTTCACCTCTGTGAATATGACCACAGGAATATGATTTTGATTACTGAGAAGCCAAGAGAGATGGAAAACATCCTAATTTAAAATGGCATGTATGACTGTATAAAAGATCAAAGACCAGGTTTAAAAAAAAAAAAAAAGTACGCACATCCACGCTCTCAAATTAGCATTAACAGAACTGGCTGTGATGCAAAATGGCTCCCTTCTGACTGATGGTGACAAAAGCTAGATGTTTTATTAATAAGGGAGTCTGCGTCGAGATCAAACAAATGCCAGTGGAAAAATGCTGCATATGATTGTTTTCATAACTTAATAGAAGATAGGTAATGTTCTGCACTGAGAGACTCAAGACTGCGTTGGCCTCATTCACAGTGTACGTGGTTAGATTTTAATGCATGTTTGGGGGAAACCACCAAGGCATTTATGTGGCTTTGTAAAAATCAGATTTGACTTTGTGCCCTAGTGTTCATTTATGGTTATCTAATTCACTTAGTCTAAGCCGGTCTTCGTAGCCCACAATAACTGCGCAAAGGAATTACCAAAATGGCTGCCGGGGAGCCATGGAATTGTTTTGGTGTTGAAAGGTTGCAGTCAAATAGTCTTTTACTGGTTGGAATTTTCACAACTTTAAGGAAAGGTGCTGCTCCTAGAGTTTAACACCCCCCCCCTTTCCCAAAAAAAAATTATATATAAATAAACAAATGAATGAATCTAAATAAATCATGAAACAATCTTTAACAAAAGAAAGAGATAATGCGCCGAGGGTTCATGAAAACACCCGATCGGTATGACCAACGAGTAAAGCTGGGGTAGTTTTAGTTGATAGAAAAATCATGAGCAACACCTGTAAATCAGTGTTAAATTTCTTGCAGCAGCTCCACCCACAGCCACAGCAAGCAGTGGTTCCACCTTTGACCCCAAATTATTTAAACTGGGTTTTTATACGTAGGGTGGACAACCTGCACGAAATGACACTGTGTCACATAAGGTGAAGCATCTTCAGATATGGGTTTTTGTAGGCCACCTTTTTTAGGAAGATTGTAGCTTCACGATAGAAAAACCACATTGACAACATTAAGGTTGCATAATTGCACAGCTAGTCTAAAGTGCACTCTGATTATCTTGGCACCGTGGTTGTCCTTAAGAATTTTCCTTCACATCCTGCCTTGACCTGATGTTTTCCATTAAGGTTGTTGGAAAGTGTTCAGGGAAAGCTACATTAACTTTTTGGGGGGTTTTGACTGTCTGACTGCAACCCAAGAATTGAAAATGATATAGGCATCCATATTGGAAAGGTCAATAATATCCAAACCCACTAATGCAACGGTTTGCCTGCAGTAAGCACGGATTTAATAAAGCTGAATAATATTTGTGGGTAGTGCCATTAACATCAAAGCACAATGCTGCAAGAGAAACATTCAAACATAACATATGCAATTACATATGCATTTTGCTACTCAAGTCCTGCAGGGGATATGGAAAAAATTCCTACGTGTCGAATAAACACAGATTTCTGAATACATTTATTTACAGCCAGCAATGAGAAAATCTAGCTAGGTCTCACTGTTGTTAGTGTGGGAACCAACCTTTTAAGGAATCCTGCTCAGCCCTCATAATGTCAATCAGAGAGTTCTCCAGAGATTGCATACTGAAACCATCAAAGGACCGTGTTCTCTCCTGCTGAAAGGAGGGGAAAACAACAATTAGCTTCCTCACTTCCCAAAATCACCATCTAAAGCAGTATAAGCTGTGAGATACCCATGATGCTAATAAGTATTAAAAGGAGAAATAAAAATTCATTTTCCCTGTGGTGACATCCAGCACAGAGCACTAAACAGAAAATGGAGACAAACAAAGTATGTTACAAAGTCATCTGCATTCGCTTGTAATGTGACATCTTTCCACTGAATCTGATAGCATCTGATAGGAAGACACACTGCATAAAATGAGCCGGTGAGAGAGAGAAGAGAGAGAAAAAAAAAGAAGAAAAAAAAGCTACTTTCGGTTTTACCACATTGCAATCAATACAAATTCTAACCAAAACTGAGGAGAGTTGGATTTTTAAAAATTCTAAAAACAAAGAAAATCTGTGAGCAACACACAACTGGTGATAAAGACTACATAAGTAAAAGTGTGTCACTTTATATAAAAGCATATCAAGTGTGTTTAAAGCTGCAGCAGAGCACAAGACAATTCGAATCAGGACAGTAGGAAACCCATGTGATCAACCAGATGATGAGACAGCTCTTTTAACCAAATGATCTAGATAAGATCTCAGTACACAATAAGTTTGAAGTCATCCGTTTAGCTGGCTTGCCTGTCACATCTCCCGTTTTGCTCAGTGGTTCATTTGTTACATTTGATACAGTTAAGCAAGTATGACAGGATTACATACTTAATTAGTCTGTTAAAAATACACAAAGCACATATACAATCACAGTCCATATCTGTTCATCATTTCTCACAATACCTACTGAACTTACTTAATTTAGATATTGAGTAATTCCCTTAACAACAGCCTGTGTTTTATTTTAGCCTGTATGCCTACCTGGAAAGGATAAACACTGTCATTGCGGCTCATGCTGTCCTCCACCCAGCCCTTGTGGTTGATGCCAGAGCTATTTCTGGGGAACTTTTGCAAAGGAACCTGGAGAAAATGTTAATAATTGTATGACAAGTCTTTTATATCAGCAAATGCAAATATCTACTATGAATATACATAGTATGAGATTAACCATGACAGCCCTGTCTACCTGATTGTTAGGGAAGGACTTCTTCAGTGGCGAAATAGAGTTCAGGCCTGACATCCCGCCGCCGACACCCCGTCGGTAATCCCGAATCCCCTGTGTACCTCCCCAGCCACCATACCCACCTGGGCTCCACGAGGTGGATGTGGGAGTGGAGGGGCTCTGGTAGCTTCCCCAAGGGGAGGGAGGTTTGTTCTGGGTAGGAGCAAGGTGGGGCAGCTGTGTAAATGGTCCAGTGCGATGGGGATGTGGAGGGAAGGAAGGCTGGGGTTGATGAGGGCTAGCTGGGGAGCGCCTGTGCTGCTGTGGAACCCCTTGTCCCTGGGGATGGTAGTGCTGAGGGTGAGGTGTGGGAGGGTGATGCTGGGAGACTGGCCCAATCTGTGGGGAGAAACTACCTCCTGCTCCAAAGCCAGGGCCAGCATGGTGGGAGAAGTTGTGGAACAGCAAATGTGGTCCATTAGCATTGGAGCCAGCAGGACCAAAGAAACCTCCAACGTCTTCTCCAACCACAGGAGACTGGGTAGATGGGACAGCAGGAGACCAGTTGTTGAAGCTGGTCAGAGAAGATGAGGAAGAAGTGGATTGTGCACAGCTTGTACCCATTCCCAGGGTGTCCTGGTAGTCAAAGCCACTTAGCACCGGAGACTCCATCCTCAGCTTCTCCTTGCCAGCACTGCTCTCCAAAGTGCCCTTCTCCAGGGAGCCGTCGTCAGGTAGAGCTCCCTCAAGCTCTCCTAAGCCTCCACCGGCCTCCTGCTGGCCTGGAGACAGGGCCTGAGGCTGGGCCTGGACCTGAGATTTCTCCTGCATATCCTGGAGGTCCAAGGCCTTGGACTTTTCTGACTCCAGAATCTCATCTTGCATGTTAGTGTGCGGGGTTACTGCAGGGAACAGCCAAGCACTTCCCCCATTGGTGGAGCAGGTGTTGTTTACAAAGGAAGGGGGGCTGGGGGGGTTGGAAGGGTGGTGAGAGTGCTGGGGTTGCAGGTGAGGAGGGATCCTTACAGGGAAAGTAGATTTGTTGCCACTGCCGTTCTTCACCAGAACTCCAAACCCGTAGTCCCCCATTTAGGACACCCAGTAAATCTTAAGTTCACTTTTGACTTACTCCGTCTTCTTTATCCTAAAATGTGGTAGAAAATGTATGACAAAATTTCAAAAGATTGTTAGAGTTGGCACCTAGAAAATAAGAAAAAACACACACACAGCCTTGCAAACGCAGTAGATGTGCTTGGGCTGCACCCTGCCTGGTCTTGTGATGCAATCAATGAGATTAAATCATTGACTCGCTTGGCTATGGGAGGCCTCAGATGAAATATAACACTAAAGCAGGAAGGCAACCACGGAAAAACAAGCGCAGGCAGCTAACAGTCCAAGCTTGTGAAGCTGACGTCTCCAAAAGGTCGTTACGCAGCTAGCAGCAAGCTAACAGCTGCTCCGCCACCTTCCATGTGCCCCATTAATCATGCAGTCACTTTTAAAGTACGTTTATGTATTGCAGGCTAACCACGAACGCTCAAGAGTCACGGTGACCAACACCACGAACACCTACCGAATGATCTCCCTTTTCCAAGCAATGACCTCCCGATAAGCAACCACTTAAATACAGGAAAATGTTGATGACGTCTCCAGTCTGTTCTGAATCTAGGGTAGTTCCCTTCACCGAGCCGCTAGGCTAGGATAATAGCTGATAACCGCAGAGACGTTGTAGCATACTGGCACAGCAGCCAGAAAGCAATAAACCAGTTCAGTCGCTGCAACGTCTCCTCGAATTTCCGTTAGCGTCAAAAACCTCAGAGTTTTTCGCGACGTGACATGTTGGAACCGGTGTGTGGCTCTTTAAACGACCTCGTCTGTTTCGTGTCCTGTATGTTCAATGTCACACAGCCTACCAATCCTTGTCATCATTTCTACATCCCGAAATACCGTGACGCAATTTCGACACCTACTCCAACGTAACGACAGACGTGTGTAAGCGTCGACATGTCGGGCATAGCTACCTTCAGTTCGGCGTCATGACCTTATCGTTTAGATGTTGCCATATTTTAGCGTTTTTTCCTTTTTCTGCATTTCCTATGCAGCCGGTGTAAATGGTCTCCACTCTCTTCTAGATGACAGCTGGACCAGTCGGGAGACACTTCCGTCTACAAGCCCTGCCCCCAGCTCCAACAGCTAGCCAGTGTGTGTCAGGATTTCCCTCCGTAGCCCCGCCTAAACAACCCTAGCTCTATTAGCTGATTGGCTAATTGCTAAGAGGAACCACCCATCATACGCCTTCTCGATGAATGGCAGATACACCCAAGACGCTCTAGTCCCAAATAAGGATGTCTTGAAATTGTAGGGAAAAGTATTTTATATAAGGAAAATTATCTGTATATTTTTTTCTGTCTAAACCACAATGGAAGAGTTAAAAAAACATATTAATAATTTCAGTGACTTTTAGGCTTTTAGAGTAAAAAGCCAGTATTTGCAACCACCTTTTTCAAATGCAGATGAAATTATTTGGCTAAGCAAATGTTTGTAGTATTATATTGGCCCTGAAAAGCAGCGTACTTTGGTAGCAATAGATAGATAGTAGGGAGATTTTATTGATCTGCTACAATCCCTATCCACAGCATAGTCCCACATAGCAATCTCGTTAAAATAAGCTGCTGCTATTTTCAGAATGTAATCGAGCTTGAGAGGTTCATTCATTTCACTTTGGCCAGTTGTCTTCTGATCATGCCATCATATCATACCTTCACTTACTAGATCACATTTTTACACAAGAATGTCATCTTCTACACCCATTATCCTCCTGCAAACCAAAAGTTTACATAGGTGTTTAATTTCCCTCTGGAGAAGCTGATTCATTAACAATGTAAATGGCCATTCAACAAGAGATGAAAGGTTGTCCTGTTCAAAAGGAGTGCACTTGTTTGCACAGCGTATACATTACACTTGTGGTAGTAAAATTACTTTTGTTTAGGCTAAACCTACTTAAGAAAAACAGGGCTTGTTTTTTTAAGAACACGTGTGCTTACATTCATAACCTTAATGGTTTTTATAATAGTATCCAAACAAGCAGACATAACTACTCCATTTCACTTCCTTTCCAACCAGATTACAAGTTAATGTTTGCCTTTACAGTGTTCCTAAACACCCAAGGCAGACCCACCCTTCATTTGTAAGTGCTAACAGTAGTGACACACATCACTTCTTCCCAACCATGTCCTGCAGGGCCTGTTGGGTTGGTTTAACAACACTGCATTGTGTGTTGAGCTTTTGGAGTCTTGTGAAAAATAACAGGCAGCTGATCCGAGTGTTACTAGTTCAGTATTATATTAATGTTATATTATTTGTGTGTTTTAATGTATGCTGCACATTTTGTGCAACCATCTGCTACGCCATTGTGCCCATCAAGAGTTCAAGCAATATAAATGGTATCATTTTTTCTGTCTGGAGAGCAACATGCTCTGTATTGACAGTATAAGAAGAGGTGGAGCCTTCAGCTATGAGGCACCTCCGATTAGGCTTAGAGCTGTGTTATTTGGTAAACATTATAGTTTAGGTCGGCTCAGATGACCCTGGATGATCCCTTAGGTATGCTGGTATAACTCAGGCCTCATATGCTATTTCCACATTACTATTACATGCAGTTATCTTTGTGTCCTCTCTTGTTGGTCTTTGTCCTCTCTATCCTTTCTTTCCATGGGACTTTTTCAGGTATTTCTGGCTCATTTCTGTCCTGGCCCGACCAGCCTGCCGAATGTTTATTAGTAAAGCATGTATTTTCTTCAAAGTTAAGGCCAGCAACCACAATATCTAACTGCCTCAAGATAACTGTTGTTCTGAATTACTGTTATATAAAAAAACTGACCTGAATTAAATTTAGGTAAAGTGAATTGCATCGAATTGAAAGTGTATTGAATATTTCCAAATGAGAGTAGGCCTTGCTGCAGAGGTTTCATGTGTTTCATGCAGCTCAGAAAATAGATTGGTGTGTTTGACAGCTGTAGCACACACATACAGGACATCTGTCTTTTTAAACCCAACAGTAGAAGGAGGTGGTGTGCACACTTTAACCCCAGATGGTTCTTAAATGATTCATCCATGAAACTTAGGCACCCAGTCATTTATTCATTAGTTCACATTGGAGCACACGGGGCAGACGTTCACAAAGCGCCTGGAACCAGCTTTCTCAGGTTTCGCAGCTCGGAGGCACATCCTCTCTTGCTTCTGTTCAGTCTTGTCTGAGATATGACTGTCGCTTCAATATTGACAGAGCTCAGTTGCCATACCAACCATGAAAGCTGGGAGATTTCTGGTCCAGTCAGCAGCCCATTGTTTGTCCAGGAGGTCATCCATCTCTGACTCAAAGCATGGTTGTAAAAAGCTTAGCGTGGCACCGCATAATCTCTCTCATGCTCTCTAATCCTGTTTGACGCCACACCGTACAGTTAATGCTAGCAGAAATGTTTTATACGCCACATAAATATAAAATCAAAAGTAGGGAATATGTTCACTGTGATATGTGACAAATGAAAGAAAAAACACAAACCCCCTTGATCCCTACTAACTTGATTTGGGTCCACTTGTCCCCTTAGAACAGGGATGGGCAATTACTCTTCCCAAGGGGTCACATGAGAAACTGGGTCTGTTTTGGAGGGCCGCACCAATAAGCTGAAATGCTCAATATAAATTATTTATAAGCTTAGTGGTGTGACCCTCCACAACAGTCCAAGTTTTCCATGTGGCTCCTTGGGAAAATGAATTTCCCTCCCCTGCCTTTGAAGAAATCCTCACTGCAAATCAGTTAAAAGAAATCTTTTGAATGACAGTCTTTATACTATGATGAAACATTTCTGTCATTACGGGAGTTATCGCTTCTGGAATCATTTTCTTTTAATCTGAATGATAAGAGGTTTCAACATATAGTTTGATAAGTATGAAGAAAATGGCGCAATGGCCTTTGGAGTCACAATTATGGACTGACACATTAGTCAGCATGCTCTACCATCAATATTATCACTGGCAAAAAACAAAGTGTGGAAACTGTCCACATCTTGGATAAGCAGTTAAGAAAATGGAAAAATAGAAAACCGGAAAAATAGAAGTCTGGCAGAATTAATACCACAGTGCATTAGACCTGTTCTTGAAACACACTGTGGCCCAGCATCTTACCTCTTGGGTGTGGTATGAACTACATATGAACATATGGAGAAGTTTAACATATAACATGCAATGATCTGAAGGTGACTCTTCTTTCTAAAGAAGGGACATTTTATGATTTGCAATGAAACCTATGTTAAAAAACGAAAGACACATACCTATTTGAATAAAAAATAAATAAAGTGCAAAAACAAGATACATCAATGAGGTTGGTATCAGACATACACAAACTCACGATGGTTTAAATCCATGTTTTAAGTCAGAAATTAACTTAAAGCTAATGAAGAGGTTAAAGCTGTATTCACATTCTTGACATTTAGACTCTAATCCTGGCCTTATGACGACTTCTCTGTATGCTGCCGATGTCAAAGTAAAATGTAAACCTGGAAATATTTTGTCTTTATTTCTTTCATCTATAAAACAATTTGTAGTTTCCTTTCAGAATCTCAACTTTTAATAATCAATCACCTGCTTCCTCCAGTTAGTTTTGTGTCAATAAGCAGAGATGTCGCCACCCAGTGGTTAATCCCTATCACTACCAACTGAGAAATGCAGCAGTGCAAAGCCGAATCACACAGAACTGCAGAGTGTCCATATCTGAATTAAGCCAAATTATATAGTATCACAGACATGCTGCTGCCTTTCTCCCCTGCCACACAGTAAGACAAATGGAAAAATAGAATACAGGATTTGTGTGACTACCACCTTTGTGTATGACCTACAAGTGACTTTAGAATGATTTTGAGCACCTGAATAAAAGGTGAAAGTCTACCTTTCAAATCAGAGCACCGTCTAAATGTTTGGTGAGGCAATGTACACTGTTGGGCCTTCTCATAAAAACTGACACCCTAAACCCAGCCCCGGCATTGCATACAATCCAGAGCTGCTGACGTAAATGTTTGGGCCCTTTCAAAAGAGAGGATATTTCCAGTCCTTGAAACTTTAAACACAGTCCGTATTTCACTGTCAGAAAGGAGGCAGCAAGTCAAATGAGAATAGGGTGTCTTTTAACCTGTGGGTACACCTGAGACGTCAAGGCCTTCTCTGCTAACTTACTTAGAGCTGAGTAAATGGTTTGCCTCTGGTGTCTGTTTGCAGTTTTATGCAACTTTAACATTGATAAAAAGAAAGAAAATTGCCTTGAAGAACACAAAATGCAGACAAAAATATTTTAATGAACAATGTTCATCTGACTTAAAGAGTCCAAAGATACTTCAAGGGTTATAAACTCAACATCACCCAAGTAAGTTACAAGTCTCTAGATGATGTCCTGTAGTTTGAAGCAGTGAAAGCAGAGACTTTGTGCTTAACAGAGGAAAACCTGTGATGTAGTTATGGAGCACTAAGAATACAGGAAACCTGGTTAGTTTTATTTTCCTCTGAACACATACAGGGCAAAAAAAGCCATTCAAGCCACTATAGTATTACAAAAAGCCATATCAAACCTAATGACAGAGCGCTTAACAGATTGTCACGTTACAAACATACAGTACATTCTCATAGGATTAGCTTATGTCTTATGCTGGGATGTCACAGGAATCCCAACTTCCACAAAAAAATAATAATAATGATAATAGTAATAATAATACTAATGATTAAAAAAAGCCTCAAAGTTGCACTTAAGATCGTGTCTAAATGAGTGGGAGAATAAATCTTTATCTTTAGTATGTAGTAAAAGGAGAAAAAACTGTGAAAAAGCTTTAACTGAGCCACAAAACCTGAACATGTCTTATTTTTATTTTTGCACAAAGCACTCCTCAGCATGTGGTGAAATGTGTTCATAAACTGCACTTCCACAACTGAAGCATGTGACTGGCCTGAAATGGTCAAAAATCTGCATGTCTGTGCCCTAAAGGAGGAAAAGAAGAGTCCTCAGAGAAGGAAAGACAGAGTGAATCATCACATTTAAGAAAGAAAGAAAGAAAGAAAGAAAGAAAGAAAGAAAGACATTGGGCTCGTCTCACTCCTTGCTCCACTCGTCTCTGCCTCTCTGTTTTGCTGGCTCTTGGCTGTGACCCAGAGGAATTCTCTGGTGGCCTCTGTAAATATAACATTTAGAATAACAGAGCCAGAGCCCCCGTGTGTGGACTTAACCCAGTTCCTGGGTCCTCGCTGTGTTTCTAACGGGTAGAATAACAGGCCTTCATGTCTGACCTAGGTATGGGACCAGAGATGAATAAGGACTGATTTATAGGGGCCAGGAGATCTGGAGGGTTTCTGTCAAGCCTCTTTCCTACCCACTGGGACACCGAGGAAGGGCAGCATGGCTCGACCTGGTTCAGTGAGGATGCAGGCCTTTTTGGTGCCGTCGTCGAAAGGAAATCCAGGCTGCTTAAAGGAAACGGTCTCTGGCTAGAGGGTGACTGAGCTAATGTGGTCTTATTTCTCAAGCTGCACTGGTCAAACACAAACCGACAATGCAAAATCCAAGACTTTGTGGCTCAACACCTTCACAAAATAGCTTTAACATTAAAACCTCCCTCATGACACAGTATTATCGATTCAATTAAAATCACAGAGAAGCGGTCACGGTGGACATTAATGACTTTAGGCACGCTGATGTTTATGATTGTTTTTTTTGGGGGGGGG